AATAAAATTATTATGCAAATTAAATTTAATATACAAAAGACAAGTTGTTATTAATAAAAAAAATTTCAACAATACTTTTTTTTTTTTTGGTTGTTTGTTCATTGTTCTTCTCAAATTTTGTCTCTGTTTCAAAAGTTTTTTGCTTTTGCATCTCTGTATATTAATCTTAAGGATGTTGTATTTTAAGGAATAATAACAAAGTTTTTTGAATTTTTACGTGACAATATCGAAATTCTTAAGGATTATTGTAAAGTTTTTTTGTTTTTAAATTAAAAATAACTTATTCTCGGTTTTTAAGCCTTTAAAATTTCGTTTAGGTATTAAATATTTAATTTTAACAATTTCTTTTGGCATTATATTATATTTTGAAGATTGAAGAGAAATTTTCCAATATTTCATCTTGGAAAATAAATTTAAGTTTTCATAATTTTCGGGCAAAAATCGAAAATATGCCATCATTTTTGTGTATACGATTTGTTAACTTAGCGTGCGTTATTATAAGATTTATGTGATTAATTACTCAAATTTGTGTGATTTTCTGACATTAAAATTATTGAAATATGAAAAACTTTAAAATATTCAGTTAATTTGTAGGGGTTTCTTTCCTTAATTTTATATTATTCATTCGTTTATATTTTATATAATACCAAATTAAATAAATTATTCTTGCACCTCGCTTTCTGTACCCATCGGATGGATAAGATTGTGTTTGTCAGTAATTTTGAAAATAGAAGAATTTTTTTTCGTATTATTAATATCGTATTGTTTAAAACGTCAGTGAATATACGAGAAATTAAATTATACTTTATTTACGAAATTTTGAATTTGATTGAGATTTTAAAATTTTCGTAATATTATGAAAACTTAATGAATATCCACCAAAAAAAGCTCAAATGAGCTAATTCTACTTTGATATTCCTCTTGATGTGAGATACAAAATGAAGATTAATAAATCAATTGCAAATATGTTTGAGAATTTTCTCCTTTCAATTAAACTCATTGCAAAATTGAAATTTTCAGTAAATTATGAATTTGAATTATTGTTTGAATCATAATTAATTCATAAATTTTTTATTACATTATCGGGATAGACACTGCATTTGTCTGAAAAATTAATTCACATAAATAAATTCAAAGTATTATATGAAAAATTTCCACAAAAAAAAATTTTAATAATTCAAACAACTGAAAACAGAAAAAAAAAAAAAATTTTTTCAATTGAATTATTTTACCTTTTATAGGTGTATATTTGTAATAAAAACATCTACACGCATACTAATATATATATATTTTTTCAGGTGTATTAAATTGAGTATGAAAAAATTTCTAAACAATCTTCTTTAAATTAAATGAAAAAATACATCTATTTTGACATCAATATCTTCTTATATCCTTTAAGGTATACATACTTTATATATTACCAGCAATATATTGTTATATAATTTTCTGACATTATTTTTAGTCAAAATATTTATAGTAGTCTATAATATCTATAGTGTTAATTGTACAGCAACTGCTAAAAGAAGTATTCAGCAGTCAGATCTCGAAACAGAAGCACAGTTTTTGTAGTAGAGAGGTATTTGTCTCAATTAATTTACAGACGGATACAAATCAGAATAAATTACAGACGACTTCTTAGAAATTTGGCCAAAATCTTGAAGATTCGCTGATATAATTCCAGAATAAAAAATTTAAAATTGACGTACCATTATAATATCATACATTACATATGATATTAAGCTGTAGCAAAAATATTTTTGGAGATATTAAAAAAAATCTTTGCAAAACTATAAACGCGTTTCCTGGCTAAACTAGAAGAGATAGAGCGATTCTAATGGTTTTTCGCGATCACTAGGAACTCACAGATTCCGCCAATATATGATGTTAAACCGTAGCCAAAATTATTCTGGAGATATTTGAAAAAATCCAATTAAAAACTTTAAATGCATTTCCTGGCTAAACTAGAAGAGGTAGAGCGATTCTAAGTGTTTTTTGTGATCAGTGGGAAATCACAGATTCTGCAAATATTATGATAATAGGGTGTAGCAAAAATATTTTTGGAGATATTTAAAAAAAATAGTTTTCGAAACTTTAAACGCGTTTTCTGGCTAAACTAGAAGAGATAGAGCGATTTTAAGTGTTTTTTGTGATCACTGGGAATCCACAGATTCTGCTAATATATGACAATAGGCTGTGGCAAAAATATTTTTGGAGATATTTAAAAAAATCTTTTGCAAAACTTTAAACGCGTTTTCTGGCTAAACTAGAAGAGATAGAGCGATTCTAAATGATTTTTGTGATCATTAGGAACTCACTGAGTAGCCAGCCTAAAAAAAGCAATCAATTAGAATTTTCTCCCTAATAATTTTCACACTTTTGTCAATTTAAAATAAACAAAACTCCTCTAGCCGAGGGCTCAATTTATTTACAAAACAAAAATTATATTATTATCTTAGTTTCTCATAAGAAGCTTATGAATGTGAATTGCTGGCAACATAAAAATTAAAATATAACATAATTTTTCATCCTGTTTTGAAAAATTCATGTCTCTTATATAAAACGTATCTATTACAATGGCGACATATATATACACCGAAGACAAAACACGAATGAAGAAGAAGAAGAGTAACAACAACAATTCATTGATAATAACAATATCGACTTTTAAGAAAAATAAAAATATAATTTTTTTTTTCATCATTTCTTAAAAGTCTTAAAAAAGTCTATCTAAATATTCATCAAATCAATCAGGATACTAGAGTAGGATATTTTTCAGTTTTGGTTTTTTTTTTTTTTTTGCTTATTCTTTTATTTAAAATTTCTAAGAAAATAACACAAAAAATTTTCGTAACGAATTTTTTTCCTTCCCTCTATATTCTCTAAATTTAAATGATACCTTGATATAATAAAGCATTTACATAATATATATAGTGGTATACAGTATAAATAGTAGCTGATATAAAGGTAATAAAGGTACCTTGTAACACAAAAACAATTTATTTTATTTTGTAATATAATCCTTGAATTTTCGAACTTTTAAACATAACATAAAATAAGAGTATCGATCCCTCTTTAATAAATATAAATAAAAAGAGGGAAGCTCCTTTATGTATACGAGGATATCTCCCTATATATGCGTATATTGTGTATATTTTTGAGGAATAACAAAATATGATAATATAAAGCCTAAAGGGTAATCCATTAAATTTATTGATGTTAGGTGTACCTATAATATTCTATATACTAGGTGCTTGATGCTCTTTTTTTATATTATGTAATCGAAATAAATAATGTATAAAAGGTGGATAGGTATTTATGCAAATAAAATATTTGATTTGTGTTTGGTATACATATGTAGTATTATTTTAATGTATGTATACATAATATGTATATATGTGTAGATAATTGAATAAAATAAAATGAAAAATAAATAGAAAATTATTAAAATATAAATCTCATGTTCCCTTAATGAAAAATATTTCATAAAGGTGATGGTAAAATTTAACGGGGCGTTAAATAAGGATAAAAAAAAAAAATTTTTTTTTTTAACCTATTGACTCCCGGAAAAAATTGTATTTTTGTAGGTAAATACAATTTAATTGCAATATTGATTATTACAGTTATATTATTATTCTTTCTATTTAAGTAAGCTCGACACGAAAACAAATTGATTTTCAAAGTTTTGTTTCTTAAAATCAAAATGGAAACGATTTAAACCGTTTACACAAACTGCCATATTGCAGACATCCAGATTCGCAGTATCCCAGTCTCGAACGAACTATTGCCTCGCTATCACGTAATACGTGCTCCATAAGTAATTTGCTTAGCAATTTGGATGCTAGTACTCATAAAGCTCTGACTACTCATAAAGATCCTACTCCTTCTGAGGTGCGTACTAATATACTCCAGAGCATACAATTTAAAAGCATATATTTCAGTCTGAAATATTAATGGATAGTACCCGAAATCCCTTGTGATGTTTACGTCAACACCGTACACACACCAATTCACCTTTTCATTTGTTTTGGACCCATCTGAATAGAAGATGGGACCGTTAAATTGAAAAACTCCTAACCGATAATTCAGGTGTTAAATTTATTTCATTATATGATTTATACGATTTTATTCTATATACTGTATAATTTCGCAAATTTAATTGCAGCTTCAAGCTATACTAGAAAATTGAAAATAAGCATATATGTAGATAATGTTAAATGCATTTACTTATACGAGTACATATTTATACATATATTTTTTTATTTTTATATAATGGTGACGTTGTAAAAATATTTTTACAAAATGGCCGATCACCTAATTTGCTTTTGCATTTGCTACGCCAGTTTTATATTTGGAAAATGGTTCCTTGTACATTTCACAAATTTGAGTCTAACATACTTTTAAACATACATGGCTGCATTTATTACACATTCAAAGTCTCAAATTTAAAATAAACTTGATTTCAGAAACAAAACTATTCCGGAATCGCAATAGGATAGGCAAGATATAGACTCATTGAATAGACTTGTTAATCCTTAATTGCCACAAAAATTTTAAAATAAATTTCATTTTCGAATTTGTTCGATATTTTCATTTGCATTTAATTTATTTTTGTACTTACTTGTCCCCAAAATTAGCTGTAAATCAACTGTATTACTCTGTACCATAGAGAATTTAAGATTAATAAGGAAAAATAATATTGAAAAAAAATAATTTCTTCGGTGTAACTATACTCTTCTTTCCTTTTTATTAAATTCAGGATCAAATATAAAGTTATAAAAAAACTTTTAAAGTAATTTTAATTTGATCAATAAAAATTCTTAAAATATTTTTATATCTAAAAAACAAAAAAAAAATATTCTAAATTTACAACTACACGTTGATGTGCAAAACTTTTTAGCACGAATAAATTATAGCGTGGCATATACTTGAATCTATTGTATACATAGTTAGCTCTACATTTTATAATTTATAATCATTTGTAAATTTTATAATATTTTTACCTTGACATTTATAGCCTTGATTCGATACACCGTATAACATAGCACCACAATGATCACAAAAATGTGGTCCAGTATAGGTAGTCAAAATCCATGAATGTTTTGCTTTTTCGCAATCCTATTTTTTATTTTTTTCATCAAAAATTAATTAAAATAATTAATGAATTGTGGTGAAATTTTTCTTTTTTTTTTGTTTTGTTGGAATTTAATTAATCAAAAATTCTTTCTATATTTTGATATCTTTTAGCCATAATTTGGTATAATTTTGCATACATTTAAATAGTTGTACAAATGGAAAATTTAAAGTGAATGGCGGATGTTTATTACATATAGCATAATAATATTAATAATGAAATAATTATAATTTATTTAATAATATTATAGGGTAATTTTTTTTTTTTATTTTTTAACAGGATAATGAAATTTTAGCTTATTCGACGTTGTAAAAAGGACCCATAGGAGACAAAATGAGATTTATATTATTTTGCATGTAAAAAATTTAGTACGGGAGAAGATATTGTGGTGCCTATATTCAAATATGGTGAGGTTACATTATCCAGGAAGAGCTTTATAATTTATTTTTAAAATCTATGTGGTATAGCAGGCCTGATTTCTGAACTGATTAAAATTCTTTAAGAGAATTTTCAAAAATTATTGATAAAATATTTGTAAAGAATCTTTATCTCATTCTAAATATTATTCACCCAAGTTCAATATGAAAAAAACAAATAATTTTAATTGAGTAATTTCATTTATAAATTGCAAAATTTATTCTTGTCACTTGACTTTCAAAATGGATTTATTTTCTTTCTTTTATTTCATTTATATTTTGTGAAACAATAACAAATATTATGTTTTATATCATTAAATGAATCATGAAATTTATTTTTGAAAAACTCATTTAATAAAAATTCTTAGAAAATAAATCGAACTTTTGCTATAGGTGTACCTACCTACATACATATATATATATATTATTACATATGATAAATTTCAAAGTTAATTTTATAGACAAAATATTATAAAAATAATAATTTTTCAAAAAAAAAAATTTTAAAAAATTTTCAATACGAGGGTAATGTAGTGCAAAATTAATATTAATATGGAAAAAGTTTTATCCTTATTTTTCAATTTTCTTATTACAATAATAGAAGAATTTCAATTTATTGCGTTAGGTATAATAACACCATATTGATAAATCTGTTAAGAACATTGTTGATGATTTTCTAAACTTTTATGAAAACCACAATTTATTAGAAGAATTTTGAAAATATTTATGAATTTAGTTTTAATATTTATTAAATCTAGTTACGTTTCTATACTTCAGCTTATGTCATAGGCGAATTAATTAATTACGTATAAATAATAAATCTTAGATTTTGACCCTATTCATTCTGTTTAAATATAAAAATATTCGAAAATTTTTTAAAAATTAATTTTATTCAAGGATCCTAAAAGTATATTTCTTTTCAGAAAATCTTTCACTTTCTCTTAAAGTGAAAATTAAATTTTTTCCAGCAAAAAACCAAAAAAAGGACAAAAATTTGGAAACAAAAATGAACCGAAACAAAATTTTACACTTAAGGATTCATTTTCAGAAACATTACATATTGTACGTTTATCTTGGTATGAGAGTAAACAACTTTTCTTTTTTGGTATTTTTTTTCATTTGCTTTTTTTATTGTCATGTTTTACAATTTCTTTGATGAACAAAACAAAAAACAAAAAAAAATTATTTTCTTTTTCCTTTTGAAAAATTACAGATTCATTTCCTGTAAATTCCTTTCAAATTACAAATAAATTTTACATGCCCTCTCTTATTATTCTTTCATTTTATATCATTTTTGTTTTGCTCCCTGTCTTTTTTTTTTATTATTTCTTTCGTTTTTTTCTTCCTTTAAGCGTTTATCTATTTCTGTTCTTAAAAATAATGATTTTAATACAAAATATACTTAACAAAGGATTTAGTCTTCTAGAATATTATTCACTTCTGGTATACTACACATAAATATTTTTCTTTTAGATAAGAAATTTTCAGACAAAAATTTCATTCTCTACTCAATAACAAAAAAAAAAATCAACATACATGAAAAATTTTTTTAGAAATTACATAACAAATGCGTACATATATGTATGTATGTGAAAATAAATTAAAATTATATTAAATGGAATTTTTACTGCTCTGTTATAAGGCTTGATATACAAAAGGGCCTTTATTTTAATATACTCAGTTTTAATATAAGCGAAAAAGAATTGAAATGATAAAAAAAAATTTGTCTTGCAAAAATTTATAAAATGCCTACATAAAAAGATTTTCATTAATCGTATTCATCTTTCAAATTTTTGAACTGAGAGAAAAAGGATATAAAAGTATAATCTCTTTAAATAATTAAACTGTCACAGTTGATAGCAATGTTAAGCAGTAAATTATGTATTAGGCGCTATTTAGTTACAGTGTTAAAATTTATTTTACAAAGGCGAATTGTTTCTTAATCAATTCATGCCTTCACAAAACGAATTTTATTGCGAATAGATAAAAAATTTTGTTAATGTTTACACTGCGTGGTAGTAGCACAATTATATTGTACTTACATTGTAAAAACGCGTTGACAATAACTGAAATTATTTACAAAAATTATTTTCTTAATAGCTACTGTTAGTTACTGTTGTATTGCATAGTTACTGTTGTATTGCACATTACTCTTTCTTTTTTACTTTCATTCTCTTCTTCAATCCTATTGAATGTGATTTGAATATAGAAATAATAACAATTCAAGAAGATTTATCTTATCATCTTCCCTAATTTAACGCCATAATATAAAATTAAATGATACGAGTAATAAAGCAATAAGAAAAAATTTCTCCAATATACATACATATATCCTCTCAATAAATATAATTTTAAATTCCAACTTTAATACTTTACTAATGGTTAGGTATTTTTGGTATTATTCGAATGGCATTCATTCTAATTCCCGTACCATGTAGAATCCTATATAAAAATTTTGTATATTTTATCAAAGCATGTGTGTGTATAATGTGTATGTATTTATGTTATTTTTAACAATATAATACAATTGTATATTTGCATTATATTGTATCACATATTGTTTACATTAATAAATAATTATTGTTCAAATTTCAATATATCATATAGGTATTATAAATATAAATTTTGTATAGCAATACTTTAAAAGTGAAATGTAGCAATAGATTATTCTTATTTTTACAAAATAATATTATAATTATGTAGAGTATGTTAGTGGGTAAACTTTTCTTTAAAATTATACATATATAATATCTAAATAATATAATATGTTATTCTAACATACTGTTATAATATTATAGCAATAATAAATAAAATTAAACTATTTAAAGAGGCAAAAAAACAAAAATGAATAAAATAATATTGAAGTCAATATTTTATCTAAATTGTTTTCAATGTAATAATAACATACAATGTAATATGTATGAATATATACAGTGCCGAATTAAATATTATATATATATTGAATAAGAATTCAAATGTATAGTTAAATTTAAAGAGGAATTCCTTTAAGCCAGTCAAATCCATACACAATATTTCATAAAAAATATATTGTGTCTTAAAAGATTTATTATGTGTCGGCTCTTTCTTAAATTGCCCAAAAGCCCGACCAAGTGATATTTAGATATTTATGGTATTTGGAATATTAGAATATTGAGATATTCGAAAATAGAAATATTGTCTCAGTCACTCTTCAAATTTAATTATCTCTGTAATTTTCTGAGCTCTCTAATAAGATCTTTTATGTTTTGGAGTTCTTCTCTCACTTTTTGTAGGCAATTCAAGAATAATTGAATATTTTCCTTTCGTCTTAAAATTACAAAAAATAATTATATTCGACACTGTATTCATACTAGAACTATAATATTGAAGATTCGAAAAGAAATAAGAAAAAAATATTGAATTGAAAACAAAAATTTATTGAAAAACAAAAAAAAAAATAATTTGTACATAAACATAAATAGAAAATTCTAAACAAAATAGAATTTTCAGATTGAAAAACAAATAAATAAAATCGAAAAGAAAAAATATTTTTATATTTGTACAGAATGTACGTAAAATGAAAAAAACAAAGTAGATTACAAGCAAAAATTTTCTATATTATTATTATTTTTTTTCTTTTGGTTTTCTTCTTTAAATTTCAATATACTCACCGAATCAACTCCGGTGTCCTTTCCAGGACATTTGAATGTGACATATTCGTGACAACGTTTATGTACCACAAACTGACATTCTGAAATCATCATAACAAAACAAAATGGAAATATAGTATTAAATAAAAATCAATTTTAATAATAATATTAGCAGACATTTGTATGTATGTGTGTGTATGAGTATAATAAGTGTGTATTTAAACATATTTTTCTTACAAAATAAACAACTTAAATGTTAAATAACTGAATTATTAATAGCTTTCGTAGATGAATCAATTCAAAATATATTGAGGTCATTTGTCTGAAAGAATTTAAATTATTTAAATAATAGGACCTTAGCTTCAATTACCAAATGGTTATAACACCAACTTCTACTTTCTTATCTTAAGCTCAGAGTCTATCGGCCGGTTAGCAAATATTGTTTATACGTTTCGATTTGCTAACACAAACGTACAGGAGTGGGAAAAAAGCAGATTTCTCTCTCTTTTTAAAATTCAACAGTGTTGTCAGCTTTTGTAATCGTAATTTTAAATTTAATCAAGGAGGTACTCATTAAAATTCGGCACAAACAATTTGAAAATCTCTCATATTTTAGTTGATAAAGAAAATTTTTCATTTTAATATTAAAAACTTTCCTATTATTTGCAATCGAAGCACAAAAAAATTGGCGACATTGTATGATCTAAAAAGGATATATGAAAGTGAGCAAAACTAATAAATTGATTTGTTTTGTTATTATTTTATTTTTAAGTTCCACTGTAGAAAATTACCGTTATATAGGACATAAAATCAATACGATAATAACAAATAAACTGTCACCGTATATTTTGTGATTGAAGATAAAAAGGAATAAAAAAAAAATCACCATTTTTTCGTTGTTTCTTTTTTACCCTATCTAATTTTTCAATCTTTTGTACAAGTGTTATATTTGATGTAGGAATGTATGTACACCGATGTGTTCATATACAAGTTAAAAAATTATAGAATTTACACTAACTTTATATTAATATGTGTGTATGTAGGATCGTGATATTGAAAATTAATCTGATTTTGAAAAGGAACACGAACAGTGTTAAATAATCGAAAAAGAATTTTAATTGAATATTGAGGAATAAAAATTCGAGTTGTATTCCATGTATGTTTCATTTCTCTATATAAAAAACTACATATATATAAAGAACTGAAACGAAACAAATGCCGAATTTCAATCAATTATTGTTAACTTAGTCACGTGTGGATGTGAAATGTAATATAGTATATTCAGTTAAGGTATTGAAAAATTTCATGTTGTGCTAACTATAGCATAATATGTGACACAAAGAATTTAAATTGCAATTAATCAAAAATATTCAATACAATATTACTTGCTCAATGGGTCCATATTCGCGGTAATTGTTGCCAAAAATTATGTATGTTAGAATTTTCATATTTATAAATTTTTTTTTAATCTCCAATGGTTGAAAACTAACTATGAGAATTTCATTTATAATATAGAATTTTCAATTTGAGAAATATTTGGACCGAAATCAGGCATAAAAATACATGATTTTTTCAATTTCATTGACGGATGTGCAATTCGGAAAAGTTATGATTCAAAAATGAGAAAAATATTTTTAGAAAAGTAATGACTTTTGAAGCATTAAAGAACTCATATGAAAAGGAGTACGAATTGTCAACAGAATTTGCTACAGACTCTTTTGAATAATTATTTGGTCCCTACAAGCATTTTACAATAATTCGTACACAAATCTATGGTTGATGGATTGAAATCAACCATATTTACAATTGAACGAATATTGTATTCGAAATTTTTCTAAAAGTTTACAACAATAAAAAAATTCGAATTACTTATATGACAATAAATATTAAATAAAAAAAAAAAACTGTGAAAATTATTCGAAAAATTTATGGGCACATACACGTGTGTATAAATTACTAGCTATAGCTACTTCTTATTAAAAAATATTATCAAATATTTCATGTATTATTTATTGCATATCAGTAGGCACCATATGCTTATATTTAAATATATTTTTTTTTTGCATATGATTACAATTATTTAAAATTTTTTTGAATATAAATTTGTATAAAATTTTGCTCAAATGTTTGTTTGATTGTTACCATACAAATAACAAGTTTAATAAATGCAATATTTTTTATGTTTTTTTATTAAAATTTTTTTACAAAATTCAAATTACATGAATTCATAAAATATGTTTAAAGCTTTTATATTATTTGAATTAATTTTAATAATTTACATGTACATATGTATATAAATTAATCAAACAAAAAACAGAAGGACACATATAATAGGAAAATATTCCCATATATGTAGATCAAGAATGAGTCTGTAATTTTGTATATACATAGTTATTTTAAAGAGAAACGTAAACAATGAGAACATTTTCATAGAGCAATTCCATCTAAAGAGTAAAGAGGCCAATGCTTCAAAATTTAGTTGCAGCAAAAACCATATTCCGAATTTTCTGTCTTTGGATTTGGTTTTTTTTGCTATTATTGTATAAAGCAGTTGTATCAAGCAATTTTCTAGCAAAATTTAATACAAAAAATTAATGCTTTAGAATTGAAATCAAGAGTTTAGAAAAGGTTTTTTTTTTTTCCTGTTCTAAAATTATATTTTACATTAAAGGTAGTATCCAGTCGCTCTTTTTATATAAACAGATGCTTTAAAGAATATTAAGAATTTTTTTTTGATCTTTGAAAAATAAAAAAAAAGATAAAAGAAATTTTTCTTAACTTTTCAAATAAAATGGTGTTAATTTAGGATTAAGCTGTATTTTGACTTCAAAGTTAATTTTATTATGTTGGAAAATCCTAAGTGTATTTATGGAATTTTATCTTTTGTAAAGTTATTTTCATGCGAGCTCCATAGAATTTGAAAATTCTTACAATTTTACATTTTAATATTATATAAATATTTTATTGATTAATATTACAAATATTTTACTTTAAATATTATTCAGATCATTTATCAAAATCAAAAACTAGCAAATCCTTAAGTGAATTGTTATGATATTTTTAGTTTCATTTTTTTTTTTTATAAACGTACTAATGCATGTCCGAAAAGTATACCGAATTTGCCTTATCGTTTGTAAGGCTACGAAATAATTGTTTAAGATATAGACTCAATTATGAGTGGATTTGATCATGTCTGTCCTTCTGTCTGTCCGTTTGTTCGCCACAACGATAGCTCAAAGACTAATTGAGCTAATCTTTCCAAATTTTTACAAATGACTTGTTTTAGCAAATTCCAGAACTCTATTGAAATTGGATGATATAGAGGTACTGGTTCGGGTAGCTACCATACAACTTCAAAAATTATTGAGCGCATAGTTTTGAAAATTTTTACAAGCAAATAATTTTGTTAGGGTTGTTATATTTTATAAAATCCGTTTAAATTTCTCAACTGTTTATGGTAGATGTCATACAAATTCATAAGCTGTTTGCTTATAGCTCAGAAACTATTATAGAACTACAAAGTTGAAATTTTAAACAAACGAATTTGGTGATCTAGTAATCATTTTCGTTAAAACTCTTTTAGACTGTATGGGTTTTGTATGATAATTACCTTAAATTTATAAAATGGCATTAGACACAAAAAGCAACAAGTTTATATGAATCCGTATTTCAATTAACCCCGATATTTAAAATCATTTACTCGTATAAATATCTCAGAATTGACACGGTCAACTACATCTATTCTTGTTTAATTCAAAATCCTTAATGTAAAACATTTTCTTTCATATATTTTTCATATATAAAAAAAAAAAATAAAATATAAAAAGACTTCAATTTTGATTATAAATAATTCCCGTCAAAATAATTTTAACTTTAAGAAAGATATAAGAAACTTAAATAAAATTTTATTTTGATTTTTCATACCCATACATAACATATTTATGTTTTGAAAGGTGCCTAACTTAAATCCAAAAATAATAGTATAATACCGTATTTATGATTTTTATATGTGTATATTTACGTACATGTATTATAAAAAGATGAAATATATGGGATGTGGTACGTATACCCTTAAATATATTGTTCAAAAATTAAATTTTAATTGAAGAATAATTCTTCTGAAAAAGTTTACCTTGTATACCTTCTAGGTACAGTTTGTAAATTTTTCTTACTTCTCTTTTTCTCTCACATTTTCTTTTGATTTTGTGATAATAGAACAGGATATTAAGAAGTTTCCTTTTTTTTTTTTGGTAACATTCATTGAACCATTAATTTATAAGTCAAGGATATAATAAATTTTTGATAACAATAAAATAACAAAGAAATACCAAAAAAGAAAAATCTTTAGAATTTTCAGAATTTTAAAATTGTTTTCTCATGAGTTGATAAAATTCGAATGAATTAAAATTTTGAAGTGAAATGATTTTTTACACACTGGATTAAATAAGTTTCATGGGGAAAAGAAGAGAATGAATGGTAAGGTATTTAATCCGGCGTTTCAAATAAGTATTTTCTAATATAACTGAAAATTACCAGAATAACCTGTACTTAGTTATGATTTTATTAATCTCCAATCGATATTTATAGATTTTGTTAAGAAATTTCTAATAAAATTATTAAATCGATTTATCACATTTATTTACAACACTTCATGTGAAATTAATTATTAAATTAAATGATTTTTGAAAATATATTTTAGAAATATGAGCAAAAATAATAAAATATTAGTTAAAAAAACTTTTTTTAATACTAAACTTTGACATTGCATATACTTAGGCGTTCATAATTTTATATTCTCTTTGAAAAATGAGAGAATTAATTACGTTAATATCAACTCGCAAGTTTTCGATCAAAACTAGTTTTATTTGTATTTAAATTACATTATGTAAGAGAAGAATTTCAGTTTCTCTCACAAGCATTATAAACAAAACGATTCAATAATTACTCATTTTTCATAATTAAAAAATAAATCTACTAACACTTTCAAATAACAAAAGAATTTTATATGTAACGTGTTATTTTCAAACAAAAACATTCAAGAAATTATTTTTAATTAAAAATTTTATTACAAAACTTCTTTGAAAAAGAGCTTTAGTATTTAATTGCTTTTTTAAAATTCCAAATACGAGTACCTTGATTTTTACATAAATACTTACAGAAAATCTTATTCTGTAAATTTTTGAGAAATTGGGATTGTTTTTAACGAAAATCATCGTAAAATTAATTATGGAATTAAAAATTACTATATTTGCCATATACAAAATTCAGATTGCTTACGACATTTGGTGTGTTATGCTAAATAAACTTGAAGTTCATTAATAAATTATTTAAAAATTAAAATTTTAACTTTAGCATATGTAAGTTTATTCTAAGAATAAAATATAAGATATTAAAGGCTCAGTCTAACTTTTTAATAAAACAATAAATATTATGAAACGTATGAAGAGAATACCAGAAACTTCAGAATTTTTTTTAAATTTGTTCCAATTTTCACATTATTTTTGTTTTAAAACTGGTACAATAATTATTAGACTTTAAAATAATAATTATGTTTTAATAGTTTATGAAAATCAAAACTCTCCATTGAAGATGCGAAATTGACTGACATATAGTAGTATCAATGTAAAAAACGTATCCATTCAGGTGTACTGATGGTACGGCCTATATAAGTTTTTATTCATTCACCTTAACTGTTAATAATACAAGCATATTTAAATTGCTAACTCAATTCTCTGTTATTCACCACTAAACTATTCACCTTTAAAAAAATATTAAAAATATCCGAAATGAATATTCAAGACAATTAAAATTCATATTTAAAAATTTTTGTCAAATATATTATATACTTAAAAAATTTATTGAAATTGTATAAGCTGCCGTAAACGTGACTAAATGCTCAAATAAAACATATGAGTTTTCTTTTTTTCTGTTACGTTTTTAAAACATTCATTTTGCAACAATTTAATTAAAATCGTTAAAATTTTTATGGGTGCAAAATGCTATTAAAAAAAAATAAATAAAAAAAAAATCCATAATTTAAAATTGATATGTGGCCCGTGTACAATTGCAGCTACCATTAAATGTTCAATATATAAAAATAATTTTTATTTTATAATATAACAAACTCCGGAGCAAAATTATTGTTTATTCTTAAGGAAAATAACTTAACATTATAAAAGAAATAATCATATTTTTTTATGATTAATAATAAATTCTGTATTTTAATTATGTATGTAAAGTGTTTGTGTATTTATTAAGTACATATTATAATATATAAAAAGAATCATGAATATTAAATAAATTTTTATTACCTTGACATTGAAATCCTTGTTTTCCAAAGCCCCTGTAAGTATAAAAGGAAAAAAATAATTCATTAAATTTTTTTTTTTTTGATTTAAAATGATTAATAACTTTTTGTTTTTCTTTTTGTTTGTAATAAAAATGTCAAATGTTTGTGACAGTGTATTTTATTTATATTTTGACTCTATAAAATTAAAAATAAAATTAAGTAAAATTTAAAATATAAAATTTTTATTTTATGACCAATATACTAACGGATATGTCAGTTAGAATGTACGATTAATCAGATAGACTAACAAATATATTTAGATTTGTATCAGACGTCAATATTTCTCTTTTTCTCTTTAAAGAGAAGAAACACTTTAGAAAATAAGAGGAAATTCGAAAGTTTATTATAATTTATTTACAAAAAGTTGGATTCAAAGTACGAGTGAAGGATGTAGTCTAAGTCGCAGTCAAGCTGGAATCGAAATTGGTGTGACTGTCGGAGTTGAAGTCGGAATTAAATTCGGAGTTGGAATTGCAGTCGGAGTCGGAGTTGTAATCGAAATACGAGTCCGAATTCGAGCCAGAGTCGGAGGCGGAGTCGTGGTCGGGGTCGAAGTCACAGTCGAATTCAGAGTTATAGTCGAAGTGGGAGCCGGAATCAGGGGCAGAGTCGAAATCGAAGTCGGATTTTGGCTTACGGTCGAGATCGGGATCGGAATCAAAAATGAGCTTTAACAAAAAATAACCCCGAAGACGGTGTCAGATTCTGTATGCATTTTAATCGAATATTAAAAGTTCAAAATAGTTCAAATATTTTTTATTATTTTTTGGGCAATTTTGAAGAACGGTTCAGCTCTAATTAATCAAATTTGGCAAATTTGAGCTGTATTTATATTAATATTTAGTATAGATCAAACATAATACGTTAGGAATCCGAATCTCTTTAATTTTACAAAAAAAAAAAACAAAAACTTTAATAATTTAAAAATACAGCTGCGCTATTAAAATTGAATCTATTTGAAAAGCACAATTTTTTTGTTTTGTTAAAAATCCAAAAAATCTTCTTCAATTTCAGATCAAGTGATCATCGGTGCATAAGCAGATTTTCTAATTTTTATAAAATTAAAGGACCATGCTATTTGCACTTTACAAAAAGGATAGTAGACAATAAAAAAAATAAAATTATTTTTATAAAAGTGTCTAAAATTTGTGGCGTTTATGAAAAAAACCGAAAATCAAAAAAATAAATAAATGAAAAGATTCAGTTGGATTCAATTGGACTATACGAAAATATTGTTTTTTCTATTCGAACTCAAACTCATTCATTTTTATATTCCATTTTTGAATGGCCTTTTCTAGAAAAAAAAAAATTTTAATATTTTCCTTTTTTATTGTTGTACGAGTAAATGGTCAAAAAGAAAAATATAATACAAAGTTTCTAAATTCCTATAGACAATGAGCAGATTAAATATTCTGGTTGTATAATTTTTTTTATTTAATAAAAAAAAAATGTGCATAATAAAAAAAAAAGAAAGAACCCTTTTTTTTATCGAAGCTAACGAAAATATGGAAAATATTAAAAATATTCACTCGTACTAAGAAAAATAGTTTATTCCAACAAACATAAATAATATCCTTTAGATTATCATAAAACTATAATAGTATCCTTTTTAATCCCATATAAGTTGAATATAAAGTTTAGTATAAAGTTGAGTACAAAGTTTCTGAAAAATTTTTTACAATGTTAAATGAGTTTGTTTATAGGACTATATGGGAAGTTCAGGAGCACTACCTGAGCACATGTGTAAAGTGTTTCTTGTTTTCTTGGAACCCTCTTAATTTTTTGTTTGGAATGCAAAATACAAACTACAAACGAATGAATTACAATACCCAAAATCTGAAATAATTCCAACATAGTGGGTTCATTATACAATAGATTGGTCACCTACTTGGTTCATGGTTATCTACAATATCATGCACCAACCCTATTCTACTCTCAGGAGCGAAGAGAACGTAAAGTTTAGTTTACGTAGCTTTTAACATAAAAAAAAATCTCCAAAAAATGTTGACAAATTATCACGAAATTTGAGTTAAAATTAAATTTCGTCCTTACAAAATTAATATTGTTACGATTCATTTGAAATTTATATAATTTTTTAATAGAATTAATACATTTGAAGCATCATTATATTATAGGGAAAATGTTGATTCGCCATATTTCCCATATCACCTTAAATTTTCTAGCAATGTTTAACTCTTTAAATCTTCTCTCCCTGATTATATTTTAAGACAAAACTAATTTACAAAATACAGAAAAAATTTTATAGTAAACAAAAAAAAATAGAGATATAATCGTATCCTTGAGCAAAAAGGATAATGCTGCAATAGTCTACTCTATAATAATATTCGAAAGAACCCTAAAATTGGTTAAAATTTTTATTTTCTCATATCTAGAGTCATTATAACTCTTTTTTTTTTTTCTATTTTTCTTGTTTCTATTTTGATAAAACTTTTCAAAAACAGTTTTCATTTTGACCATCCCAACTATTCATTATCTTGTTTTTTTTTTCAAATACTTCTATACCACACCATTACCAATACTTATGTTGTAAAAACTAACTGATATTTTGGTAAGGTGTAAAGAAGGGCGAGGAAAAAAAAAAGTTATTCAACTTAAGATTAATGTTGCCAGAGATAAGAAAAAAAAATTGTTTTTTTTTTTGTTTTCATCCTCATTTTCCCTACTCTTATTCTATCCCTTTCTTTTTTGCATTTCATTTTTATTTTATCTTAAATTAAATCAATCGTTTAAACATAAAGAATACAACAGGTTTATTTTAAAGTGGAGAAATAAAAATAAAATTGGAAAGGAAAATTAAACGAAAATTCAAAAAGGATATTTTTTTTTCTTCTTCAACTCTAAAATCTTAATTTTCTATGTATAAGAGGTATTTATCCTTTAACAGGTAAGTTACTTTTTATCCCTGTATAAATTTTGATGCTAATCACAAAATAAAAATATTAAAAAAGATGTTGGTAATTAATTTTAATTACGCTATTTTGTTTTTTTCTTTTTTATTATTTATTATTCTGTTTTTCAGGGCTCTACGTAAAGACGATATTTTAGATGTATAACAGTTTAATGAAAATCAAAACAAAAACAAAAAAGGATACATGTAATTTTGTTGTCTTTGTAAATTAAAAATTGTGACGTTTAATTCTTTATGCCGGCATTAAATTTTGAGGCGACAAGAAATTAAGTACAATCTCCCTAATCAAGTCGTACGACTAATACGAGTACCTTGGAACAAGAGAGAGAAAGAGTAAATTGTTTTTTTTTTTGTTTAGAAAAGTTTTAAGTATATTTTTTCTTTTATTAAAATTCAGAGACGATTCGGATACTACAAAATATTAAACTTTATTTATGAAGGACGCAAATAAATGAACGTAAAATTTCAATGAACTATTAGACAATATTAATTTTTGTATAAGTAATGTGGCCTGTATTTGAGATGAGAAACTTGTTAAAATCTATAGATGAATATGAAAATTTTGAAATACACTGCCAGACGAGTATATGCAGTTGTGTGATGCTTATTAAAGCTGTATTAGTTACTTGCCATTACCTTTACTCGAACGTAAGAGGAAATTCGAAAATTTATTACAATTTATTTAAAAGAAGTCGAATTCAGAGGACGAGTGAAAGCTGTAGTCTAAGTCGCAGTCCTAGCCGGAATTGGTATTGGTGTCAGCGTCGAAGTTAAAGTCGGAATTAAACTCAGAGTTGCAGTTGCAGTCATAGTCGGAGTCGGAGTTGTAGTCGGAATACGAGTCTGATTCGGAGCCAAAGTCGGTTTCGGAGCCAGGGTCGGTTTCGGAGTCGGAGTCGAGGTCGGAGTCGGAGTTGGCGATAATGTGTAAGTCAGTGCGGAACCTAGTAGCGTTTTTAGAACTAAATACGGAGTCTTGACGTTTAAAAATTTAAGTACAAATTTTATATAGAAATTTATAAATATTTTTATTTTTACATAACCACTCGCATCAGTAATTGGAACTCCATATTTAGTGCAGACGATGAACAACAGGAACTCAATGGCTTCAGCCTTCTCAATTCTTTTACCTTTGACAAAAATTTTTATATAAAGTATTAAAAATTATAAAGATAAAGGCATAATGTACGCTTTGCATGCTTTACACGCTTTTACATTCTGCGTACCCTATATGGAACGACAAAGGATGTAAAATTTTTTAAATATGTATATTAATTACTTTTTTGCGTTGAATTTACCAATACAACGTGTAGTTGTTTAATTAATAAGTAATGTGTAATAGACACAATATCTATTTATATATATGTTCTTGTGATTGTGTGTTTCAAATATGAGAGTTACGCATGTGGCATCTTAATTAATGTTAATAATACTTAGTAATCATGTAGATTACAGTATAAAGCAATATGAAGAACATTTAGGCAGCAATTTCTTGCGTCCGCCTAGTTAGCGGTAGATCACTGGTTCGAGTCCAGTTCGAGAAGAAAATTTTTTTAATTTTTCTGCCTTTAACCCGTTCCTTTGATTACGTCATCCATCCGTTCGGTAGTTGTATGAAGAAATTTCCATTAAGCTACACTTCACTTCCAACATATCTGGGCATTCTGACTATGACTTCTATTTAAAATTTTAAATCAATTTAGTTTACACTTGTTTTAGCTTTTTTAACATAATACGTTTACGAAACAAATAATGCTTTCCATATTATTTTATAAAGGAATTTAAAATAAGAAGCTCTAGCTTAAAATTGATTAATTCATTCAAAATTTGATATCTTCTTTTAAAGGCTTACTTACCACCATTTTAACTGGTTTCATTTTTGTTTTTTTTTTTTTTGTATTTTTCATTTTCTAAGAAAAAACCAAAATATCAAACTAAACACCTACAATTATAACCACAGAATCTGAATTATTAGTATTCATTTTTAAAATAAAAAAAAAAAAAATATCTAGTTACAAAAATGAGGAAAAATAAAAAACAAAAAAACAAAAATAGAAATA